CTGGAGGATTTGGGAGGATTGAGGATGAATGATGATTTGAACACTGGAGGATTTGGAGGATCGAGGATGAAGAGTGTTTTAATCACTCCGTCCTGGGGATTCCAGATCCGGACACGTACATGTATGCTTTATATGTGTCCGAACTCGGACAAAGGGAACAGGGCCTTTGTAACAAAAGACCGTACTCGGAACAAAAGACCAGACAAATTACCAACATTTTTTCACTCTCAAAAGTGGAGATAATCCAGCCTTGTTTGAAACAGTATACAACAGTTTGGGGACAAAAGCTCCCAATCACCACAGTGATGAGCCACACAGCACCGCTGCATGCTAATCTGGCCCCTATTGAAAAGAGGTCAGCAGCACACTGAGCCAGGTTCGTGAACAAAAGAAAGTTATATAACACCGCACAATCTGGGCTCTTTTTACAAGGCTGCAGGCCTGGCTGTAATACTCAGGTGTCAATAGATTTTGTCTGTCAGGCTAGAGTGGACACCAGACAGTCCTTCAGGTGTTTGTAAGTGTCCAGAAAATGAAGATCGGAATTTTTAAAGAATTTTGAAAACAGAAACACATGATAAATATCCCGGCCCAGCATCGTCAACATTGATAACTGCCCCGGCAGGAATTGGTTAAAAGCTGGAGGATTTCAAAGGATTGAGGATGAATGCTGATTTATAAGCTGAAGGATTTTGGAGGATTGAGGATGAATGGTAATCGAAGTACTAAAAATCAGTCATGTAGTGGTGCATATGGTCACACATTATACTCTTTACAATACACACGTACCCAAGGACAGTGTGTTCCATTGGTCACTGCTGCTGGTCATAAATGACACAATCCTCAACTGCAGTGTCTTAAAACAAAGGCACATGCCTGCTTTGTTTATTACAAAAGTAAAGCCATTAGCCAACTCTGCAAAAACAAAAACAGCTTCAGCCCAGCAACCGACCTGATGTGCCTACCGGTAACTCTCCCCCCCCTTAAAAAAAACCCCAAAGTAGGGCAATGGAGGATTTTGGAGGATTCGGATACTTTTCATTTTGTGCATAAGCCAGAAATATTGGAGGATTTCGGAGGATTGAGGATGGAGGCGGTTTCTGAAGTAGGGCAATGGAAGATCTTGGAGGATTCAGATACTTTTCATTTTGTGCATAAGCCAGAAATATTGGAGGATTTCGGAGGATTGAGGATGGAGGCGGTTTCTGAAGTTGGGCAATTGGAGGATTTCGGAGGATTGAGGATGTGCCCTAATAAAAAGTCCCCAGTGGGTTAGGATTTATAGGTTTTATGTGCACTGTCAGTTTTGACTACGTGAGAGCCTTGCCTTTCGCTGGTGTAAAAAACAAAAAAATTCACAAAGTTGCTTTCTGCTGGTGCGTTTCAATCATGAGAACTGTCCAGCTCATCTAACATCACTTTTTAGTCTGCAATATATTATGCATAGAACAGATGTGATTTTTTGAAAATAGATACTTCAGACTTCTCCTTTCACTGAGCAAGCTCCTCTCTCATGCTTACAATCAACTGAGCAATAACTGTCAAAGCCCCTGAAGCCTCCCCTTTCATTAAAACATGGCAAAATGTAGAACACCAATCCATTACATATACCCTGTACTGTACATGTACATGCTGTCTTGTATCATTCCCACTCAATATCACTCAGCAGGTTAATTCCCACAAGCTTAAAGGAAGAAAACCTGGGTACAGACGCCAACTCTTCAATTGATGAGTTCCTCTGAGATCAACACAAGTAAGTCTAGGTTGCCAAACGGTCATTTCTGTAGACTAGGGTGGAAGTTAAAAGATATTCCAAATTCGGTACCTGCATGTGAACAACTACAGTACCTGGTACTGTGTATGTACTCTCCTGATAAAACTCTTAGCCACCATAAATCACCAGTCTAGAGGACTCAGGAGGTGATAGGCATCTCTAAATATTTTATCTAAACATTACATTGGTTTATCTGACCCCAAGGGGTTAGTTACATCACAGATATTCCTAGTCAATGTGGTAGACTGCAAAGTGCTGTGCAGTTGACACTCATACAAAGAGCACTCCAAGAGCAAAACACCTGTTAAAAAGAGCAGATTCTGAAATCCGTAATCTTTTCAATTTGTGTGTTTTTTGGTTATCAGTTACACAAGGTAATTTAGCTACTGGTAGTTCCAACAAACTTGTCATAGAACCTTGTTTACTGAGTTGATTGAATTAATGTTTAAAGTTCATTTCATAAATTGTTTACATGTACATGTAGTTTATACATATTCATTGCACCCCTACCTCACAGATTTGACTTTTTTCCAAGAGACTGATAGTAAGTAAAACTTTATTTTTCACACGAAACAGTTTAAAGATCTAGAATTAGAGGGCATTAATGGCAATATGACAGTGCCATTCAGCCATATAAACAAGAAAACTAAAGAAACGGGGGAAAATTCAAAATGAATGCACGAAATTAGTTTCAAATCAGAAGCGGATTACCGGTACTAATGATGGTTTTTACAGCCAAAACATTCAGTAGCAGCCTCTTTGATCATGTTGATATATTTGACAGTCTATGAGGGTTGTTCTCCAACTGTGTTACTTGGCATTGATGTACATGTACATGTACTTGAAGATTCATGATCAGTTGCTGAGTGAGAACTCAAGTTGACAAATGCACGACTCATGTAGTGGTAATGTCTTTTGTTATCTACAGTACAATGTTCATGTCCTCATGAAGAAAAAAAAAAAACAGGGCTGTCAAGGATCTGCTACGTATGTTCAAATGTCGACATAATTCCTGACCTGCGACCCAAGAACAGGATGCCTTCGTGGCAGACGTGATGAAGTTTCAAGCCAGTAAATCGTCATAATAGCCTGGCAAACTTGACTTGCACAACCATAATACATACGGTACATGTATACCACCACATCTACTTTGACACTTCCGAAACCTAGGCTAGTCACCCTAATAATGCATACATGTACATGCAGCTCCAGGAACGTAAACAGGAATCTCAGTATGGGCACAAGGAAATTCTTTCTGCATTAAACCACTTCAAGGAAATTTACACTGCAGTTTCTGGCACACAACGCAGGCCTTAAATGTTCGACTACAGACCAACAGAAGGTGAAATGACCCAGGGTATACAAGCACGGAAGAAAAAGAGCACATACAAAATGGCATACCGGTACATACAGTGTATATGTAAGAAACGTGTAGATCAGAACAAGTTTTTCTTATTATTGTCCTGATGCACAGTACATGTATGCTACAGCCTACAGTGTGCATGTACCAGTAGTTGGTAGGCTTTTGCAGGGTGAGTGACAATCAGGGAAGTGTACATTTACATCTACATACATGGTAGTGTTTGTACATAGATGTATTTCTGTACTGTACAACCGCCATTGGTTTGGCAGTGCTGCGCACATCATGCTGAAGACTGTCACTGTTTGCCCCATGATGTATGGTCACATCAAACATTCCAAACAGCAACCATGTGCTTTCCACCAAATGACAAATTCCATCTCACTTTGTATTTTCACTGGAAAACAAGTCTCTTCAGCTTGGGTAGAACTGAAAAAAATTAAATAGTTTGGGCCCTGGTTGTTTATTTTCAAAACTTCAGTGTTCATAAAACTTGAGAATCACTCTCGTGGTCAGAGTTTGGTTCATGTAAAAAATTTGTGGGGAACTTGGACAGAGAATGAAAAAAGCTTTTGGATGGTACCAACTTTGACGAATTTGGTGTATTTTAAAGGGTAGTAAAATGATCTTCTATGAAGATGTTGTGAATCAAAAGCAATTTTTTCCCATGATTTCAAACATTTTTCAGTGAAACCTACCAGTACTTAAAAGGAGGTTGAGGAGGCTAGAAAGCATAATTTTTGGGCATTTGAACATTACTCAATACATTGTAAAATGGTATAAAATTTGTGACACCTTTGTACAATGTACATGTATATAAATGTCACACTACCACTGCAAAAATCTTTTATAAAATGTGTCATTTTGGATCATGCCTGTGAAAGGTGTTTCAAGGCTGAGTGTGCATAGTAACACATTTCCAATACACATGGGATGGGTGTCTGAACTGAAAATGAGAACGAAATTTCCGTGAATATTTTTGATGTATTCAGGCTACTGCCTTGGCTTTCTATGTTTTAACAAGTTTCTTTTATTGGAGTAATTAATACAAAAAAGATAATCATGTTTTATTAATAAATAGAAAAACTTTTTGAGCAAAATTCAGAACACACAAGTTGCATATCGTGCATTGCTGCATACATGTACATGTACTGTACGTGTGTGCAACACTGGCCAATTTTATGTGCACAGACTTTTGTTTAAGCATTCCTCTCGAGTCATGTACTGTACACCACCAAAAATATTAAGAATGCCAGGGACTATTGTGTGGGGCTGTTCTTTCTGGTTCTTTTGGTACCAGATTTGTTCTTCAAAATGTACGAAATTGCTCTTGAAACAAATGTGTTTAAAAATAGAAGTGGTGACAGAAAATGACCCCCTTAAAACTACATGTACCATTAATTTGCCATAACTCATCAACAGGAGAGGCTACTAACACAATTTTAATACCACTGTAAATTTGTAATCGTCATTTTGATAAACTTTCCAATGACTGCAAATTTGTTGGCGAATCCCTGAAAAGTGCAAAAAGAGTCAGACTCCCCACTTTAGTATTTGGTCATGATCTGGTGATTACTTGGACAGTCTCAGGCAGTGGAGGGAAATAATTGTGCAGCCAGTACTACTACATGCCCCTATTATTATTTTAAGCTAATGTTGCCTCCTAGAAAGAGAGTAAAATGTATGGAGCATGCATAGAGGATTAACAAAAAATACATGGAGGAATTCTTTTCATAGCCTACACAAACATGACTAACTGCCTCGTTTATGAACATTTGACTGTGATCTCAGATCCACGACCACTTTTGGGAAGAGTTCCATATATGGACGCAGGTACTAGCCGTCAGAAAGCAAAACCATGTCCAGAAAAGTTCAATTTAGAAGGGAAAAATAACCAAGTCGTTTACTTAGAAAACAGAATTTTTCAGACCAGTCTCATAGGCCATAGACATGACAGGATTTGCGCACGGCGTGTGGGGGGTCCCACACACCTTGGGCAATTTGTAGAGTCCTACGACCACACTGTACAATCCCGCAGAATAACAATTTTCGGCAAGTCATGCTACATCATGTAGCATGACTTTGTACATCAGATTGCCTGACTCGACATGATTTACGGCTTTGGCTTTCATGCCTCTCTGGCTGGCCGATGCTCCGAGCATGAGCTTGGCGAGTTGGGAGACCCTATCGATTTCAGCATGGATTCTACCTCCATGATTTCAGTGTCCTGTGTTCCTCCATCATGTCCATGGTGCCACTCAAACCATGGAGGAAGGAGGGGCCAAACACACAAAACTTACCACTTCGATAAGCTCCAGGATACCCTCCGGCAACGTCAGATACTTCAGCCCCGTTGGGACGTACGTAAGCGAGCTAATTGTGGGTAAAACAATCTGCTTTCTGTCCGCCATCTCTGATTACATATATGTAGCTCCTGATTTCGCTTTAGAATGATCGGTCAGTCAGTGGTATCTAAAATGCGTGACGTAACTTTTGCGGGCCGAGGCAGATCGACTGAGTGACTGCGTGAACTACGTGCACTTCAAGAGGGGAAGCAATGGCGTTCGAGTAGGACCTCGACAACCGCTGCGCGGCGCTATACGATCTTTGACGGTAACCACGTTCCTTACCAAATAGACATAGGCCTTTAAACCAAAGATGGGCGGAGTACCGTAGCCGAGGTTGCACCGGACTAAGAACTCCAGTCATAAAATCCTATGAAGCCATTTTCGATTGTGAAAAAAACCCTCTATTTACTTAATCTGGTCGATGCAGATTCGAAGCAATGCGGTTGCAACATTTGAAAAGAAGAGATAGCAGTACAAATGAAAAAAAAAAACGTCTTTTTAGTTAGAGCACATGTAATACATGTACGTACTCCCAGTGCGTCACGCGCAATTCGCATTGAATGCGCTGCCATCCATCATTTCGTTCTGTTTTGTGATTGTCAGATTTAAGAAAAAATGGTCTTGCTAATGGATGGCTGTCTTTAAGACTTGAGGATGTCGAAACCTTTGCTTCGAGAATATAAGTTTAGCATCAAAGTTTACCAGTGCAAATGCGTTTAGTCCATGTACTTATATAAAAAGCCGGCGTTACACCACTGTAAATAAGCGGGGGAGCGGGTTAGCGGGTTAGCGTGGCAG